TGACGTCGACGGCCTGAAACTGGCTGGCTGTTTATCTGGCTCTAACTTGGCATCAAATGCAATTAGGGGATTATCATATCATGTTTCAAGACGGGTATATTCAGATAAAGTTCGACGTGAACCAGGCTTATGCTATCCTGAAAAGAAGCGCAGGGCTTCTTTTCAAGGCTAATTTTTAAAACTAAAGAGGGGACCTCAATTCTAGATGGGCTTCTTCTCGAGATTAAGCCCCATTAGGATTCAATTCAAGGTTTTACAGTATTCAGGTGAGATTTTTGTATACAGTACCTTGTTCAGCAAACCCGTCGATCGCAAATATTGATGATTTTGAATAAAACAAAATTATTTTTGGCCAATCTAATTTAATTTAATTTTTTTTAATTTAATTTAATTTGGCCAATTTTAATTAGTGCACCCACCGCCAACAAAAAATGGAAATTTAAAAAAAAAAGTTTTTCTTTATTTTTATAACAAGGAATAAAAAAGTCTTGCTACACCTATATAAATTTATGGTTTAGTAAATCCTTTCATCATATAATTGTGTATTACATTGTATTGCAGTACTATAAATGCACCATCACTATCATTTTTCCTACTGATAAATGGTCCAAATAAATACAGTAGTGTTGCTGCGATACTGTCGGTGTTAAAAAGATCTATATAGTTTAATGCTTGGATGTCATGTAAGGTATTTAATATAGCTTTCCACTGAAATAAGAACAAGAAAATACCTTTTGCACCAATTAGAAACAGTAGTAGATACTGCTTTTTTTTTTTTTTTTTTTTTTAGAACCATAATTTATATGCTTGCCTTTCAAAATCCGCAGATTTTACAAGCGATTATACAAGACGTTGGCATCATTATTTCCCTGGTCACTGGATACTGAATTGGCAGATCCGCACATTCTGCAACTTTCTCTGCTCCAGGAGTATCCCTGGACATTGGTGCTTGAATGCGCACGACCCATATATTCAATGCCATACCATCCTACCAGGTACCCATTTATACTCCTGGGTGGAGAGATGCAAACGAAACCGAAGTGCCTTGCCCAAGGACACAAGCAATGTGACAAGCGACGGTTTTGAACTCCCAATATGACAATCAGAAGTCCAACACCTTACACACTACACCACACGCACCTACAAAACACTTAAATACTATTCATCATAAATAGCATTATTTATTTCCTATCAAGTGAAATTACATTGCTTAATTCTATTCTTTGTATAGACCCTTATAATGCCTAGTATTAATAGCGTAATTACGCAGGAAAATAAAATATTGCATTGTCAGCGACACTTGGGGAATGCTGTAATAATACATAAAGAACTCAGATCAGCTTAAAATAGTCCAAAACTGTTTAGGCTTTCCGAGTTCCACTGGGTCCCAAAGACAACAGCTACTCCTTATATTGCCTAGTACTATAGTGAAATTACGCAGAAAAATAAAATGTTTGATCAGTGGTAGTTGGGAAAATAGTGTAAAAAAAAAACTCAGATCAGCTTAAAATAGCCAAAAACTCTATAGGCTTTCTGAGCTCCCCTGGGTCCCAAAGAGGAATTTCAAACAACCGCCTGTAAAACAGGTACCCCACCCCTGTGGGGAAAAGCAATTACTAGCATGTACTGGATACAGTACTACCAAATTGAAGGTCAATGTCCTCCATGTTGAGCCACACTTCTTGCCTGAGGAAGGAAGTATTTTATGCAAATTATTGGAGCCATCCAATATCATCCACCAGTCTTAAAAGATGATTATTCCATTAAATAATGTTCTTTACAGACAATCAATAACCAAAAGAAGTAAGTCTGTTAAGTTGACTTACTTAACTATTGATGAATTTCTAATAAGTCGTCTTATGTTTCTACTTCGACGTTCAGTTCTTAGCGCCACCACTTACACGTAACACTGTTAGGTAGGCCTACAGGGAAACAGTGGGTCGAGCAACCTTCCAAGCCTCACTTGTTCAGACCAAAATTTTCATGAATTTATTTTCATAATTATATTTTGACAGATCGATTTATAATAGGCCTACTTATAAAATGTCATCATTAGACAACTTTTCTGTTTCAGGCAATCAAACGTATCAAAGTCTAGCTCCCAAATAGACTTCCCCATCGCATGGTTGGTTGAACAAATAAACATACAATCATACTCAAAGTCTCAACAAAAGAAAAAGTTAGATATTATAGCGAGATGTATAAACTTACCGTTCATGTTTTCTATGTCTAAATTAAGTGAACCCATGGTTTAGTTAGACTGTATCACAGACTTGATGTTTTGCAGGCAAAAATCTGGGTTTCTAAAACAATTGTAACGTGAATGAGTAGGAAGACATTCCTGACTGCACAACCTACCACCACCAGTTCAACATGCTTTGTTGACGAACGTGGAAAACTCATTGGTGTTGAGTTGAGAGGCTTAACGTATCCGTGTAGGATATCACTTCTTCGCATATGCTACTCGGCGCAGTGAAAAAATGCATTATTCATAAGATTTGACATGCTTCCGGTGGTATATGAATTCTAATTTATAGGAAAAATGAATGTAGATAATTATGAATTATCGGCGATACATATATTTTCTAGAATATATAACTGAATTGAAACAACCCATCACAATAACTTTGTTTTGATAATTTAAAGAGGCTAGTAGGCCTACTAAGATTTACGATGGTATGATGGAATAGTTCATAAACTAGTTAGGCCTTACTCAAATGAACTCCACTTAATTTCACTGTAAATTTGGAACTACAACGCATACAACGCATAATTACAGTTAAAATACGTTGCGTGACCATAAAGACTTATTGATCCACAAGATTAGAATTTTTTTAAATGTAATTTTGGAGTAGTACATTAATGGAATGTATTTTAAATGATCTTGCTTCCATAGTTTTGTTTACATTCTTTTTTGGTTTTTTCTTTTGTGGGTGGGATATTTATTAGAGGAAAAATTAATATCTATCCACTGGAAACATCGAGGAGAGGAAAATGGGTCTGCAAAACATTAATGTATGATGATTTTAATTTGAGAAACAGATTAATAATGTATTAGGAATACATTTTTCTTCAGTGGCACACTTCTCATTGGAAGGTGTGGCCAGAGCATTTTACATAAGAAATAGTAAAGTAGTTTTAAAACATACTTAAAATAAAATCAAAATACAATGGAACTAGATGAAGTAAAATTAAAAGTATCATGATTATCATAAACCGGTTCATGACTCAAGAGAAGAGTCAGAATTTATAGGGCCTTATTGGTTTTGTATAAGCAAAAGTTATACAAGAAATTACTTCGTCAATGGAAAGAAAAGTTATAATATATATTTTATAAGAACCAGAAATTTACAAAATAGGGCCTGGAAGAACGATAGGTACAATAAGCTCATAAAAAGAAACCATAATGATAGCAAATGGCTTCATGACGTTTCCGTTGATTGGGATTACTGTATCCCCAAAGCTTTGTTAGACCATGGTAACAGACAATGGTGGCGCCCTTTGTTGAAATGCCTTCAACATGTACGACAGAATTGCTCCTAAAATATCTTTTTTTTTTCAGAAATTTGAGTATAATGTAGAAATACTGAGATGAGTTACGTAATGCCTCAAGGCAATGTGATTAAAAGTGCAAGATTTAGCGGACTATCAGCCGCGTAAGTACATGATTGTATAGACTGGTGTCGTGCTTAGCACAGCGTTATTATGTGCTTAGTAGCGTAGGGTCAAGGGGCTTATTTTAGCCTCAGCGCTCATGAAGATGGAATGGGGTCCAGTGGTATGCTGGGCTAGGGTTCCATTTGAATATTCGTACATTTTAAATGCTTTCTGTAGAAAATTTGAGTAGTTTTAATGTTAACTTTAAACTTATAATGTTAGTAGTAATGAGCAAGCATGCTAAAACAGAATTTTAAATATGGAAGTGGATATATTTATGTGGCTGTAAACAAATTGGTAAACGGATTGGGCTTATTTGACTGGTTCATTTCGTTGACTACGAATTTTTGCCGAACAATATTTTCATTCGACTAGGTCGTAAAATAGACCTCGTTGACAATGTAAATTAACGTAAACTAGAGTGCGTTAATCAGCTTTAAGTTATCCATGTGACCAAAACAAACATGGCCGATCGGTCAGTTTAGCAACAACATTTGCATAAATATAATTAACTTTAAATTTCAGAAAATAAAAATTATAATATTTACCCACATGAAGTTAAAAAATAATTGTAAGCTAACAGAATTTAAAAACTGGATGAAAACATTTTTTTTACGAAAAACCCATACTGCCACAATCCAAAACGACCTTGATTACGCAGCGTGTATTGCGGTAACTATGCAGCCATTTTGTTTTGCCGAGTATTTTACCAGTTTTCTATTCGACTGGTCGTCTCTTGACGTGAGTAAGAGAGTGAAAAGTATACAAATAGGCTATTTCTACCTCATTATCACAATGATTCAATCATTTTTTAACGTCAAACCTCCCTGTTGTACACTGTTTACAAAAATGCATTCAAGCAATTTGGGGATTCCCCATGTGCTTTACAAAAATTTGTTTGGTCAAGTTAATGTAATTTAACATGACTATAAACACACTTACACATTTGGGGAAGATTTCATTTTAATACAGCGTGGATTCATCATTCATGGTACAGTACATTCATACCTGGACCCCCACCGGACGGCCCCCAGCCAAGTGAGACTCGATTCGCTCCAATAGCCCCCCATCCCCACTGAGGCCTTTAGCCCCTCCGTCGGGCAGGTCCCGGCACCATCATTGGTTCCCGGGTATGTAGCTGGGACTGATGTCCAATGTTTAAACCTGCCCTAAGGTAGTATGAACGTAACTTTACTCATTGGTATAGTTACCAACCTGAGAGATTTGAAATGCGCGACTACACCAGTTAAGTTAAGGGCTCGCCAGGGCCCCAGGTTTCCAGGGGCGGAACTCCAGTTTGGGCCAGTTCCAGTCACATCAACGGTTGGTTGTGACAAGGGACGTGCAAGACCGGACGCGACTAGATGCTACTAAAAGCGTGGTTGGCTTGGTTGTTTGGTGGGGAAAGAGAAGATTTCCCTGCTGAACTGATTCTCGAATGAGATAACGAACTCTATTGACTCGAGCTACTGCATGACCTTCTTTATATATTTAATAAAACCATTTTCTTCTAATTTTAAACCAATTTTCCCATGAATAGATGCATGACAAATTTATGATCACGCATGTGTTTCTGCAAAATGCGTGTTTCATGGATTGAATTAGATTTATTTGGCGTAAACACCAAGGATAGCCCACGAAAGTCTAGAAGAAGACTTATTTCCATTGGGGTCCTTCTGGTGGTGATTGGGCAGTACACCGGGAGACAATCCCCTACTCTTTTCCGAAGAGTGTACTGCGTTCTTTAACGTGCACAATGCACACGGGACCAACAGCTTAAACGTCTCATCCAAAAGACGGTGCGCTATTGTAACTTGTATTTCAGCCCTCTAGCTGAAACACAAGGAGAGGTAGCAATGGGAATTGAACCGAGGACCTAGAAATCTCCATGGTTCAGTGCACACACAGCGGCTACCACCAGATTAGTTGACTGAGCTAAGCTGCTCATATAAAATCACTTTGAAATGCGGGACCGTCCCGCACGATGCGAGACAGTTGGTAGCTATGAAGATATTCAGCAAATGAAATTGTATATAATGGATATACTATAGACAAATTACTGTATTTTATATGGACAATTCATTTTTGAGCAACATTTATTTTCTTCTACAATATATTATGATGAAATATAAAAATATTTATGAATATTTATTCAAGTTGGCATGTCCTACAAAGCAAAAATCTTTTAGTTTGTTGATCTAATTATTTCTTGCATTATACAATATTTAGTATATTTTCAGATATATTATCTTAAATTTTTTTTTAGGCCTGAAAAAAATAAAGTGTTGGGAGAGTCCTTGCCACAACTGTTATCAAAACGCTTGCCCAAGTCAGCTTATGCAACTTTGGAGGCTTGCAGTAAAGTTAGCGAGGATGACACAGATAGTATTCCACATCGCTTGCCTAAGATTTTCAAACATAGACCTGAAACAGTACCTGGTGATACCATATCTAGAAGACTATCAAATAACATGATACACTTAGATGAACGACAGTAAGCTAATTATATCTATCATTTTTTTCTTACTGATGAACTTTGGTTGCATTGGCAAATTATTTGTTTTAATTTGACAACCTTAAGTTGCATCCAACAACAGGGGGCTCCATATCTGTCGAATGTTATAGGAGGTAGATGGTTGGGAAATTTCCCCTCTAACCTTTAAGTCTTGTTCTTCTTTGAATTCCTTGCTAAATATCCTATTTTTTCTGGCTCAAAAATCACTTATCGCTTATTTTGTGTCATGCATATACAGTTATATACTGAGGTAACGGGGATATGCATAAGGAATTGTCAACAAAGTGTAACTTTACAGGGATGTAACACTCATTATCTTATTATGTACGTTAATGCATTGTTTTTAATTAAATTAATTTACATTAAAACATTTCATATTTAAAGCATTATTTTATAAATTAATCTTCATTTAATGGTACAGTAATTACAAATTTGCACAAAAAGTAATTGATTTATTGTATTATGAATTTAATAATATCTTAGAACTAGATTTCTGGAGGTAAATAAACTGCCGAATCCGCCACATACGATCTGTCTCTTATACACATCAGATGTGTATAAGAGACAGTTGTTGAAATGCCTTCAACATGTACGACAGAATTGCTCCTAAAATATCTTTTTTTTTTTCAGAAATTTGAGTATAATGTAGAAATACTGAGATGAGTTACGTAATGCCTCAAGGCAATGTGATTAAAAGTGCAAGATGATGAGTTTGTAGTTAAGAATTTTTTTAAGTGCAATAAAAAATGTTTGATTATTGTTACAGCAAATGTGTACAACTTCCTTCGTGACTTTGGATACCCAGAAATATTGGTTGCATTTTGTTTTATGTGATATATGATTATGTTTGCAAGAGGATGACTAATGCTTTTAACACTAACAGTTAAGGCAAGACTTTTTTATACCTTGTTTAGTGAACCCGCCGACTGCAAATATTGATGATTTCGAATAAAAATAGCGAACCAGCCGCCACGAAAAAGTGGAAATTTCAGGGAAAAAAATTTTTTTTCTTTATTTTATTATGCCCTTCTCTGTGTTGAAATCTTCAAAGATAAGATATGTATATTTCTTCCTAATTATATAAATTTATTTTTATTTTCTCCTTCAAAATTATTTACTAAATAAGAAAACAAAAATTTATTTAAATTTTTATTCCGCCCTCCACCAAAAATCTTTTAAAAAAATAAGTACGCGAAACAGGGAATAACAAAAGTCTCGCCTAAAGATGAAATGTGTGTGCTTTGCATATTTGTAACTTTTATATTAAACTTAATCATAATAAAAACTTGCTTTCATCTGCTCATTGAATTGTTCATTGCACACCTTGGGTGAATTTTAAGCTTTATAATAATAATAATAATAATAATAATATATTTTTACATTAAATACAATATTGAGTGGTTTTTTTTTCATTCAAAGTTGACACCTTATGACTTTGTATAGGAAAGAGCCTTTTTTCATATACTGTACAGTACTAACCGCTACTGCTTTACATAACTCGGTCACTAAACTTTTGGATAAACAGTTAAATTTAGATTATAAATTTAGAAGCTTTCTTCTAATATAAGCCATATGGTGATGGTTTAAAAAATCAGTGATCATTTTTTTTCTTCAGATTTCATGATTCACGACCGTTCATACCCTGTTTTAGTGCGGTGCATTCATGCATATGATATAGACAGTAGGTCAAATTTACCTGACTGAGCTTGTTCTGAAAATCAGGCTAAAATTTTCTTTATGTTATAGCATTATGTATATAATTTGAATTAAATATTTCCATATAAAATATAATTTTATTTTTCAATATATTAAAATTAACAATTTCAAGGAATACCATTTTGTTTGACATAAACATTTTGAGGGAATCTTGATTTTCTTGAATTTGAATATTGTTTTAAAAATATAATTTATGTCAATTCCATGATATATACAGTACTGCTGGGTCTAGAGCAGAGGAGGATTTACTTTCCCTTTTGGAAAGTAAAAAAAAAAAAAGAAAGAAAGGAAAAAGAAATAATTGATCGCCCAAAACGCCTCAGAGGTCATTTTCGAGTGCTTAGAAGACAAAAATCCCCAGGACCCCTAGGGTAGTGTTGTCTCAATCAGCCCCACTTTTTCCCCCAACCCCCGCCCCCTTCGTACATCTCTGGATCCGCCCCTGTAGAGTGCAGACCCACTACTACTACTACTTCTACTGCTACTTATTTATACATAAGCTTGCATTTTGCAAAGTAATTCATATTATAATTTAGGTTGGGCTCACATTCGTCCTACATGATGATTGTCTTTGATGCTGATGATGCAGATCAACACACTGACAGAGTGACAAAACTGTTGCCATGTGAAGTGACCATGTTCAGAAGGTTCATTTAATTACTGTCTTCCAAATAATATTCTATATTCTAACAACCTTGGAGAGTACATTAGGATTATTTAATAATAATCATTAACAGCATTAGAAACAAGACGATAGATTAGGTTATGTAATAACTGAGAAACGCATTACCTGTATTTAACAATTTATCAAGGGCCTAATTGGTTAGACAGCTATGTATGTGGTGCTTCACCATAGTTACTTGACAAGTATATTAAAGTAGTTGAGGTCTTCCCATTTTCACATAATTAATGTATTTATATTGGTTGCATTATGCCAGCAGCCATTCGCAAAAATGAGAGCTCGTAATATTTACACCTTCAAAAGGCAAGATGAATAATCATGACGTGAATAGTTGTGTGACTGCTAGAGGGCGGTATTTTCAATTAGCGGTTGGTTTGTTGAGAGTACTGTAATAGGCCTAAGTAGTATTTTAGGCATAACCGGTAATCTCTTCGAACTATAAAAATGAAGATGTTGATGGCCAAAAGAAAACTTAGTTTATAGTGTATTATTTATAGTTTTTGGTTTTTAGATTATTACCAATCGACTGAATATACTAAGCCATACAACATAAATATAGGCCTACACTACTGAACCAAACATTTTATAGTGTTTGACAAGTTATGTAGGCTATATTATTTCATAGATTATTATCTATAGAGGAATGCTTTTCCATCGTCCCCGCCCTCGGAAATAATCGCAAACTATGAAATTTGTCGATACTGAAATATATTCTAAATGTAGATAAAAATAGGCCTATACTCAGTTTGCAGTGTGTTGTATAAGTTTTATAAAATCAGGTTTCATGTGTCTTCCATATTATGCATATGCTGCCTCAGTATTTTGTATTTTTGTACTGATATTAAAAAAACGCAATTTAATCCGATTATTTTTTTGTATTTGTGTTTCGTATTTCCAACAGAAAAGATCATTTGCATTATTTCAAAATAGAAATGTTGACTATGCGAAGGATGACTGCCTATTATGAAATTTCAAGTGGTCTGAGAATGCTTTATAGTGCTGATATAAATCAAGCGAATGATGTTTATGATGATGGTGACGACGGCGTCGACGATATCGACAGCGATGATGTTAACGACGATGAAACTGATGATAATATCATTAAACAATTAGCCGAAATTAAGGCCCTCCGTAAATATAATAACTCACTAAATACCAGCAAGAAATAGCTGTAGGGCCGCCGTGGGCCATAATTGCTCTAAGCGTATTAATTTACTATAGACAACCAATACAACGATGTCATTAGTATTATATATTCACATTTCCTCATTCAAACAATTCATTTATTCATCATTAGAATGAAATTTATCATTTAGGCCTATGTCGACAAGACATCGATTATGATATTAACGCAGCTTAATAAGCCTGCAGTCATTATTCAGAGGTGAACAATTAGGCACTATAGCGAATTTCTTACGGCCGGCTCTCGCATATTTTTTCTTGTATAGTTCATTCTACTGAAAATTAAAAATCAGTGTCCTCCGAGTGGCAGGGTGCAGCGCACGCACACGCTTTCCTATGTGCATTAGTAATGATCACTTTCTCTGGTTTTCCATCCTTTCTTTGCACTCGTCGCGACGTATGAAATAATTCACTCTTATGCAATTTGAGAATTAGGATTCGGGAAGGTGAAGTTGATGAGTGCGTTTCCCTAAGTAATAATACACATTAATTGGCGGACCTTTACCTTTCACAGCATTATCTTCCATCGTGCTAGAAAATTCAGTTCTTAGATTTATTATTCTAAATTAGTTGAAAATAGGATTACCATGAATCTAGTAGGTGGGAAATACTGTAAATGCTTTTTTAAAACACGGAATAAAATAATTGTCAAATAGGGCTATTGAGAGGAGGGATCAATCGCGTAACGGCTATGGGCCCTCCCTGGATCTAGCCAGGGGCACCGGAGCCTCAAGGAGCCCCCAGCAAATTCATTTTTTTTTTTACAAACAAACCAAAGCCATTTTCCAAGCCAAGTCTGCCGAGTGATTGAGGAATTTTCATTATCATCACTATCGGCTGTCTACGTTTTGTTGAAACTTGAAAAAGTTGTGTGAGTACGGTAACCATGAGCTAAAGCATTGACATACATAAGTAGAAATATTTTATTGATTTTTAATTGACTCGTTTTGTTTTAGTAATTGGTATTTATTGTAATAGGCCTATGTTTATTAGTGATAGGCCTATCTTAGTTCAAATGAAGTATACTTTTTTTGGGTCAAATCATAATACATAAATTCAAATGAGTAAAAAAGGCATTGAAATACGTAATCGAACGCTAAAAACGTCGGAGCGGCCACCGGGGACGCTTCGCGGCCCCGGCTCCCAGGTCCGGTCTCTCCAGGGACCACCCGGCCCCTTCGTTACGCCACTCGGAGGGGTCCGTGTTGCTTAACGTGATAGGACCTGTGGGTCCTGAAGCGCCTTTTCCGATCATAGGCCGATTATTTTTGTTATACCATGGATGAAAGGAATTTCGTCTTATTGTAAATTGATTGTGATATAATATTGAATGATTGACTGAAACATCATAGGATTACTGATTCAATAATCGATGCTGTCTATTGTAGATTAAATAATGTAGCTGATATTGTAGAGCGGGTCCGACGTCCCTGACCGAAGGGTGAGGGTGTAACTGACAGGAGCATACTGTAAGTGGGCAGTTTCGGAAACCACGACAATTTAGATTTCAAAAGTCTCAAACGAATTACCAACAGCGTGTAAACATTACTGAGAATTCGTTTCCCATTGTGTTTTTTCTCCCCGACGGGAGAACTAGCTCTCCCCGCCCGACGACGAACCAGCACTCGTCGTATTAATATGTATAGGTTACGGTATATTAGTACTGGTGCGTGTTTGAATGGGTTAATCAGTAGTTGCAATACTGTTAGCGCCCTCAATTTAACACCATGCAATGCGAAAATATACTTTGAGTTGGATGAAGGATAAATTAATTTTGCCAATCAAAAGCATTTATCAGCAATTCAGCCATAACTCAAAATTCTGTCATTCAAACATCACCCATCATCCCAACTGTCAATCAGTGGGCACCCTGACTTGCCTAGTAGGTCCATGTTATAATCAACCTTTCTGTTACAGCCAAACAAAGGGACACGGACAATAGAGATCCGCTAATGAGGGAAGTGTCACAAGATCCAGTGGTTATTAGTCCATCTTAAAAGAATGAACTCCATTTAAGTATGTCAGGCCTA